GTGCCTCCTTTTTTCGAAACACTCTTCCTTCTCTTCCTCCTTCCGCCACCTCCTACTCCTCCTTCTCCACCTTCTTTCTGTTCTTCTTCTGCGCAAAAGTTATACGAAAAGAATTTTCAAAGTTGTTGGTGGTGTTGGTGATGGTGGTGGTGGTGGCGTCGGCGGCGGTGGCGGCCACCTGATGCGATTTGGATAGTTTAAGGTGGTAAGTCGTTTTGAAATTATTAGGATATCTCGGGGGAGTCTCAACAATTTATTGCATTTTGAAAAAAAAAAATCCTTTTTCTTCCTTTCTTCCTTCCTTTTTTTCCTTTCCTACTTTTTTTTCCCAACGACTCGTAATATCCCCTTCCTTACGTCAAACCTCTCTAGTTTTTTTTTTGTACAAAAAATTTTTCATAAACCTTTTTCGAAACCGACTAATTTACACGCGTACTATACCGTCAAACAAAAAAAAAACCCCGGCGTAAAAATCAACAAACAAACAACCGTTACGAAAACACTCTTAAAAACTAGTATTAGTAACAATAAAACAACAATAAATATGAGGTGATTGGGAAAAAAAAGAACAACAACAACAACAAACAGACAGACAAAAGATAGAGAAAGGGCTAGAGAAAGAGAGAAAGTAAAAAAAATAATAATAAAAAGAAAGAAAATGTGAAACGAAAGAGAAAGAAAGAGATAGAGAAAGTGAGAGGGGGTGAGGGTAGGGGGTGAGGTTGTTCAGTATAAGGTTCGGGTTTTTTAGTCTCTACAACGCAAATGACATTCGGTCCTTTGGGACTTACGTGATTTGTTACTGCACCGATTTCTACCACATGTAATTTATAAGTCTTGGGGTTACCTTCCATTCTAATAAATTTGACTGGCTACTTTATTTAACTAGTTAAACTCATTTCGAAAAGGAAAAAAAAAGGAAGGAAGGAAAAAGGGGAGCCGGAATAAGGGAGCCGTAGAGGAATAAAAAAAAAAAAAGGAAAAACAAAAAAAAAATTCGTGCGTGCGTGCGTGCGTTTGTTGTTGTTGCTGCTGCTCCTGCTGCTGATGTTTTTCGATTTGACTTTTTTCCTTTTTTTTTTCCTTTCCTTTTTCTTCTTCTTCTTTTTCGAAAAAGGCAATTATTAAATACGATTTTTCTTTTTACCTTCTTTTTCCCTTTTTTCCCTTTTTTTTTTTTTATTGCCTTTTTAATATTTTTTTTTCCCTCTCTCCCCATCCTTCGATGAGATACATTTAAAATTTAAATTTTTCATTTTGTTTTCATCATCGATGAAATGATTAGACGACAAACGACGAATTTCAAAACTTTTCCTTCTTTCCTTTTCCTTTTTTTTTTTTTTAAAATAATCATTTCCGGTAATTTTCTTGTAATTTGAGAAGAGATTTTCTAAATAACCTTTGACTCGTCTTGTACCATTCTTCAAAAATTAAATCTTTACGCATCTTCGATGAGTCACCTTCAAATAATAAAACAACCCCGTAAATATTTTCCATCCAAACGTGATTTTTCTCTCCTTTTTCCTCTGCCAAAAAAAGGGGAAATTAAAAAATAAAAAGTGCATCACTTTCCTTCTTCCTTTATTCACGATCAATTCAAAAACCCGATCATTTCCCTAGGGATGAAAAGAACAATCGTTTTAACTTTCATCCCGGGAGGAAGAGGGGGGGAATATTTTCTCGTATCCGTGTCCTCCGGTTTGGTCGGTCGGTCGCATAGACCGACTACGTGATTTTTGCATTACTTTTCAACTTCCTACCACATGTTTCTCCCCCCCCCCATTAATCATTTTCGCGTGGGAAATTCTTCTTCTTCCCTTGTCGTCGCAAAACACACACACACGCAGGTTTCACGCAAACAAAAAAACTTACGCCAACGTTAAAAGGTAGGCACTTCTTTCAACGCTTCAAATCATACCCGAACGCATTCTTTACATAATTTTCAACATAAAAAGAAAAATTGTGACGTCATTTTGAACGTAATTTCCATCTATCGATTAATACCGGAAATAAATTATTACAATTTCTCTCTCTCTCTCTCTCTCTCACGCACTCAAGCACGCATTTACGCGAGCACTCAAAATTTATATAAAAAAAACCTTTTTTAAAATTTCAAAAGGAAAATCATCTGAGATGAAAGGTGGTGGTGGTGGTGGTGATGGAGAAAGGGGAGGAAGAGAATAAGGACAGGATTTAACATCCGTCTTGTAATCTCATTAAAAAATTAACCCGATTATCGAATTCACAGACCTCCTCTTAAAAATCCACATCGTATCATTTCCTACTTAACTCTTAAAGTTCTCAACCCCTTCTAGCTTTTTTTCTACCCTTAACTCAAGAGCAAATTTTCATACAATTTTTTTTTGTGAACCCTAAAGCTCACTTTATCAAACATTCGTATTATTTCCATTCCGGATTTGTAATCCGGTCTACGACTCGGTTAAGAACTTGACAACGACGACAACAACCTCAACCCTAACCCCAACCCCTTATCAACAAACGTTTATCATTTAATATAACTCGGGGCGTAGAAAATTAAAATTATCAAAAAGAACATTTTATCATCATCATCATCATCATCAATATTACAAAACAAAATGAATTTTATTAATTATTTTCCGGAAACCATCTTACTCGATTCTCACTCCTACCTAAAGTAAAAGTAAAAACTGACACCATTTCCGGTTTGTAATAATCATTATATAAACAAAAGATGATGATGATGATGATGATGATAAAACGTTTTGGAATTTTTTTCCAGCATCGAAAAGTCACATAATCTCAACGGAAAAAATCATGGAATAACGAAAGAGAAAAAAAAACCGGAAATACACTCAATCGCACCGATTTCGATTTTCCACCGGAACTTGTCGTAAATTTATCAATTCCGGTATAGTTTACAACTTCATTAAACGCCCAAAAATTACAATTAATTAAATAATTTTAAAATTAAGAAAATTTCACTTACTTTCAAATGAAAATTCCAAGGATAAATCAATAAAATGATTCCTTTCTTTCTCGGAAAATTCCTCCCGTTAAGAAAATTTCAAGGTACCACAGTGATTTCTCTTAGCAGAAAGTTTTTCCGAACTTTTTTCTGCATCTGAAACACGATGAAAATTCTTATTATCATCACGGTGATATACACATAATAAAAAAAACATGATCGCCGAACCTAATTTAAAAACTAATAATACAATTTTATTTTTTGAATTCTGATTTTATTTTTTTTTTTAAATATTTCACACGTCAATCTCTTCAGGTTTTTCTCAATTCGTTGAACTCGATTCGAAATGACATCATTGATCAGATCACATTTTCACACAATTTTTTTTAATTTTTATTCAAGTTATTTTCATGTCAAAAATAACGGAAACAACCTTCGAATTATAGCAATTAAGTAAATGACTTTTTTTTATGTACAATTTGAAAAACATAAAAGATATTAAAAAATAACATCCCCCTATACTTTCTTTATTAATTTTTTACACTGCTACCAACCAATAAAATATTAAAATAATCCAAAATACCTCCTCCAAAGTTATCTTAACAAAAACAAAAAACAAAAAACAGATGTAAAGTTTTGTTATCAAAACTTAAAACATTAAAAAAAATTACAACGGTAATTATTATTATTATTATGTTGTTATTTGAGGTTTACAATAAATGATTCAATAACAATAACATCAAATTTATTTTTTAAAATAATTTTTTCCTCCCCCTATTAACACCTGTTTTCTTTAATTTTCCAATTTATTTTATTTGTTTATCTCTCTCTCTCTCTCTCTTTCTCCCCCGCACCCTCACACTCACACTCTGATAACAATTGTAAACAAAAATGAATAAACACGTGCAGATCATTAAAAAACACCAAGATAATATTTTATTACAAATAATAAATGCTTTGCTATTATTAGGAATATTTTGCAATTAAAAAAAAAATTTTAAACTTTTTCAAACGGAGGAAGGGGAAGGGAGAGTGGGAGGGAAATGAATAAAAAAAAAAATCAAATGTTTATAAAGTTGAAATTTAAATATTTGTGAAAACATGAAAAATGTTGGGAAGTTCTTGATATACTTTTACTCCAGTTCCAGTTCAACGAATAAACATAGTGGAGACAATATTGTTTCCCATTCCGATATTGTTTAAACAAAAATTTATATGACAGAATTCTTTCTCGACAAGGTAATAAAACTCACATTCGTTTCAACTCAACTTTACAAAAAAAACATACAATAAAAATCTATTAAATTTAAAACTAATTAAGAATAATGCCAGATAATCAATTAATGACACAATCATTACTTTCCCTCATTATTACATTCAAGAAATTAAGAAGAAAATAAACAATCGACTGTAGGAAATCCAAAACCCAATCAATTACAAATCGAACTCACACAAATTTATGTTTAAAAAAAAAAATTTGCAATTCCCAATAATTTATGGTTTGCAAAGATGTCAGTTGAAATGAGACAAAATTGTTTTTTTTTTTTTTTTTTCTCCTGCCTCATTAATAAAAAATCACAACATTTTAAGTTGTGATAATTTTTAATCAACGATTAAAACTATTCTGTAATATTTACATGTAATGTCGCAGGCTCCCTCCGTATGTGACATGTAAAAATGTAGACTAAAACATTTCGAATGAAATCCTTCCAGGTTTTAATTTTACTTAATTCATCTTTCGAACAAATAGAACCTTTGATCATCATCCTCATCCTCATCATCATCATCATCAACTTGATAAACACTAAAACAAAGAAAAGGCAAAAAAAAACTTAACAATCAAGTTTTCCATTTGAAATAAATAAATAATAATAAAAAATAATTGTAATTTACATATTCAGGTAAAAAAAAAAAAAAAAAAAAAAAACTATTTGAAATTATTTATTTAAATTACAACATATATCCACATAAGTATTATTATTATTATTATTACAAGGAAATAACTTGCCAATAATTTTTACAATGTATTAAATATATTCGAATGTGTCACAGCCTAATAATTATATATGTATATAATGGATTCCAATTCGAATTCACATTTTTTTTTTTTTTTTTGTTTCTCGTTCCACTCTGATTTAACATTCTGTAAATAATTAATTAATATAATATAATAATAATAATAATAATTGTGTGTGGAATGTAAAGGATAAAAACTTTCAAGGCAATAACCATAAAAAATAAATAAATAAATAAATATTCTTGAATTGTACTAACAAACTGTTAAGAATTCAAAAAAAAAAAAAAATTATTTTTATAATTAATTCAATCACCTTCTAAAAATTACCTGTGACTAATTTTAAACTATTAACATTTAATAAACATATTATTTACGACTTGATTTTTATGAGTCAAATCACAAAATATTCTAATTCAAAATATTTTATATATATATATATATACCTCAAACTGGTAATAATAATAATAATAATAAATAAATAAAGGTATATTGGTAAGTTAGACAAAAACCTTGAACTTGTACAATCATCCCTCAACTCGTTTCAACTTAAATTAACGTGTTAACTTAAATTAACAATAAATATCGTTTCCGTTTTTCTAAATAAATACTTACAAAATAAAAGAAAAATTTATTTGTTTTTACCGCCGTGTCATCAAGAGACGGTTGCCATATTTTTTTAACGGTCATTTTGATTATAACCAATCAACGTCATATTTTGTACTTCGATTTTTGTAATTCATATTCGGCATTACTTTTTAAATATGTCGATTCTTTCCAAATGCATTTTATAATAATAATAATAATACACAAGTAACTGTAATTAACTGTTTTTAACGAGTATAAAAACAGGTTGGATTTTTTTTTTCGTTTTAGTAAAACCGTTTGACACTTTGCGTCACTCGTGACGTTTTACCAATCACGTGTTAAGCGAATTATCAGCCATCTATCGACGAAATATTTAAACTATGTATTTTTAATTTAAAAAAAAAAACGTACGAAACGGTAACGCCATCTATGAATTAATTATCGAACTAAAAAAAATTCATTCAGTTTCGTTTAAGAAAAGAAAAACTGGGTATATGTAACTTTAAGTACGAATGCACTTGATAAGAAAATTTTCTTTTTTTCAAAAAATTTTATAAGAAAATCGTTTTATTCATTGTTAACATTTGGTTAAAAAAAATCATTTTACGTTAAAAATAAAATAAAAATTTGTCGTTACCATTGAAATAAATAAACGAAAACGAAAACAAAATTTAAAAACCTTTTCTTTTTAGTTTAGTTTAATTTAGTTTAAATTAGTTTAGTTTTCTCTAGAGAGATAGAGAGAGAGAGAGAGAGAGGGGGGGAAGAGAAAGAGAGAGAGATATATAGAGAGAGAGAGATCGAAAAGACTTAAAAAGTTACCTTGATGCTCGGGATTTTCGAAGGTGATCCTGATTTTAACTTTTTAAATATAAAAAAAAATAATAATAATAATTTTTTTTTCGGTTTATGGTTAAAATTCGATGAACGACCTAGTTAAGGTCGGCCCCCAACCACAAAAAAAAAAAAAACTTTTGCCGCAAATAATTTTTTTTAACAAAAAATTTTACGTTTTAAAAAAAATTTTTCTTTTATCTTTAAATAATTTAAATTTAAATAAATAAATAATTACCTTACCATTATCATCATCATCATCATCATCATCGTAATAATAATAATAATAATAATAATAATAATAATAATAATAAAATTTAATTTAAATTTGATTTGAATAAAAAAAAATTTTTTTTTTTTCTTCTTATTTTTTTTCCATTTCAAATTTTTTCTTTGATAACCTTTTTGATATGAGCCTTTGACCTTTTATGAATCACATAATTGCACATATTTCATAAATTTATAAAAAATAGAAAAAAAAAAAAAAAAAAAACGAAAATGTGGCAATTCTTGCTTGTTTTTTTCTTCTTCTTCTTTTTTTTGATATGTTGTGACCTGTTTACGTGAACCATAACCGTGAACACATAAATAAATCGACCACCTATTAATTATTATTACAGTAATAAAAAAATAAAAAATGGAAGAACGAACGAACGAATGAATGATAATAAAAAAAAAATTATTTTCTAAACGTAATAAAAATTCCTACGGGGGGCAGGGGCGAGAGCGGGGGCGCCAGGGGGTAAACCAAAACCAAACAAAAAAAAAATATGAAACGTTGAGTTTTTCATTCCATTAAAAAAAAAATAAGAAGAAGAGAGAGGGAAGAAGAAGGATGAGAAAATAACGACAAAGGAAATACCTAAAATGGAAACAAAGGAAACTTTAATAATAATAATAATAATGAATTCAGTCAATCAAACCTAATCACGAACGATCACGAATACTTTCCCCCCAAAAAACCAGAAAAAATTTTTTTTTTTTTTTATGAGCAATCATCTCGTCAATCTATTTTCTAAAAAAATTTCACACCACGAATCGAATTTTCCAGAACGTGTAATAATAATAATAATAATAATGATGATAATGATAACAACATTTCATAATCGTTTAAACCCGGAAGGTAAAAAAAAAATTTTATTTTATTGCATTACATACATAAGAATCGTTTCGCGTTAAAAGAAAAAAATTTTTTTTTATTACTCTTTTTTATTTCTTCTGCTGTTGCTCCTACTCCTGCTGTTGCTGTTGCTTCTTTAACACATCATTTATTAAATAATATGAAAAAAAAAAAAAATTAATACCGCGTAATTGTTTTTTCTCTTTTTCATTTGAAAACAATAAAAAATTTGACTTGTAACGTCGAATCCATTCTAGACAGAAGTAGAACTTACTCGTTACTTTATTTGGCGTTATTATCATTATTATCATTATTATTATTATTATTAAAAAAGAGTAAATTTTGCAATCTTCTGCAATTTAAAGATTAATTGCAAAAATCGGGTCAACCACTTTATATATATATATATATATATATATATATATATATATATATATAACAACAACAAGGGAAAAAAAAAAAAAATTTTCGCAACAACAACAACAACCTAAAATAATATCGATCGATCCTTTTTTTTTTCTATAAAGAAAACAATATGGCGGACAAATAATTTTTTTTCGCGTAATTGTCAATAAAAAAAAAAAAATAAAAAAAAAATTGGCAGTGACCGTCAAGGCCTTATTTTTAATAAATACTATTTATAATTATTTATCCAGTTGATTATACTTATCAAGGTCGAAACTTTTACTGGAATTTTTTTTTTTCCTTTTTTTTTCGCTCAATCTTTACTCCCCCCAAAAAAAAATTTTTTAAAACCGCGACTACAGCATAAACGTTATCAATATTTTTTTTCTCCAGTTCGTTCCAGAAATTTCTAGATATATATGTACGTATTTAATTAAATAAAAAATGATGAAATTCTTTTTTTTTTTGCGTATATGAATCGAAATTCGATTTGTTCGAATCGATTATTCGTCAAAATCACGTGATTTTTTTTTTCCAGAACGTAACGTATCGGAGTCTACGTGATTATTATTATTATCATCAGTGATCGATCGATCGATGGTTATTTTGAAATTTTACCTTCTTTTACGAATTTAATATAAATTAAAAAAAATTTAATTTTTTTTTACAAATTTTTTTACAAATTACATAATCGATAAAAAAAAAAATTTATTATTATTATTAGTTAAACGTCGATCGTGGTGGTGGTGTCGATGATGGTGTGGGTGGTGGTGGTGGTGGTGGTGGCGGTGGCGGTGGTAAGTTTTTTAACGCATCATTAAAAATATAAATAAAAAAAAAAAAAAATTCCGCACCATCTTTCTCTCTCTTTTTCATCTCTCTCTCCTCTATCTCTCTCTCTCTCTCCTCCACCTCTCTCCCTTTCTCTCTCTCTCTCTCTCTCTCTTTCTTTCTCTCTCTCTCTCTTCCTCTCCCAGACGACGATAATCTATTTTCAATCGAACGAAATAATATTACAAAATTTTTTTTTTTCTTTTTTTTTTTCCTTTTTTTTCTCGTTACACTTCACTAAACACGTACTAATAATAATAATAATAATGATAATAATGATAATAATACTATTAATAATAACTTTTTTATGTATATATAAAAACCCGTTGAACGTTTATAAGAAAATGTTTTGAAACAATTTTTTTTTGTGTTTTTAAATGTTTTGATAAGACTTTTTCTTTTTTTTTTCTTCCGTTTTCACACACAATAATAACTCTACGGTGTTTATTAACCAATTATTATTATTATTATTATTATCATCAACTCCAGTAGTTCCGATCACGTTTTTACCCATATCACGTATAAAAAAAGACACACACACACACACACGCACGCACGCACACTTGATGACCTTGAACTTCAATTTTTTCCTCCTGTCTCTCTCTCTCTCTCTCTCTCTCTCTCTCTCTCTCTCATTGGTACGTTCAACGAACGTGTCCGCGTACGTTCGTACGAATTTTTTTTTTTTTTACAAAAAAAAATTATAACAATTCATCCGCCATATTTACTTTTATTATCATCATCGTCAACGCGACGAAACGAAAAACCTTTTACGATAATAATAATAACACTAATAATAATAATAATAATAATAATAATAATTTTTCTTTCTCTTCGGCCTTAAAATATTATGGGGGAAAAAAAAAAATTTATTTATAAATCGTTTCCGTTTTCGTTTTTTTTGTAAAAAATTTCCCAGAACGCGATATAGAATTTTATTCCTGGAGAATAAAAAATTTATATTTTTAAAAATCCGCCATTTTGTTTTTAAAAACGTAACGTAACGAAACGAAAGAATTTTTTTAAAATTTAATTTAATTTATTCATTTTTAATAAAAAATAAAATTTTTTTTTGAAATAACGAACGTGTCGTTTTTTTTTTTTATTTAACAAAAAAAAATCATTATTATTACGTAATTAAATAATTAATTAAAGTAATAAAAATAATAATAATAATTTGTTTTGAAATATCCATTAGCCAAAAAAAAAAAAAAAAAAAAAATTTTAACATTCCAATATATATTTTCCTTTCCTTCCACCTTCCCCCCCCCCAAAAAAGTGATGATTATCTTCATCATCATCATCATCATCATCATCATTCCCGGAATTTATTCTTAATAATAAAAGACAAAAAAAAAAAAAAAAGAACATTCCAGAAATAAATAAAACAACAAACAACAACAACCGGAAAATATTTTTTTTATAATAATTATCACGATCCGTTAATTATAAAAAAAAAAATTACATCATTTGAGTATAAAATTTGGGATCCCTACATTATTATCATCATCATCATCATTAATATTTTTTCCAGGTAAAAAAGAGACGAATCGAAAAATAATAATAATAATAATAATAATAATAATAATAATAATAATAATAATAATAATAATAATAATAAATTCGTTTGATCTTGACCTTTAGAAAAAAAATAAAATAAAATAAAATTTTTCATTGGATTTGGTTTTTTTTAAAACCAAAACTTTAATAAAAAATTTTTTGTATTCTGCTTTTTAATTAAATTTTTTCACCATTTTTTTTTTAAATAATCCCCCCCGGGAATGTTTATTTACAATTTTAAAATGATAATGATAATAATAATAATAATAATGGAAAATTCAGAGGATCCACGCGCGCGAAAATGATATCAAACGTTACTGCTCCTCAAGAGATAAAGTGTGGGTCAGAAGGA